ATTTGTCGTATCAGAGTGTTGAGGACGATGAAGTTTTGGTCTACCTTCTTTATTATAGCTACCAATAGATTGTGGATTGCCATAATCTTCTTTATTTGCTGAAGGTATTACAGGATCATTGCCACTTGCTTCATTTATCGTATCAGAATGAGGATATTTATTGTGTTCTTTATTTGCTGGATATTTTACGGAATGATTTTCTTCATTTGGTTTGGCAGACGAAAGATGAGGACGTTTTGGCTTATCTCTATTGTGGTCATAACTTTTAATGGGATCAAAATAGTTATCGTTCCCTTTATTTAYTGGTGGTTTTACAAAATTATCATCACTTACTTTACTTGATTTATCTGAAAGAATCGTATTGTCATAATTTGTAATGGGATTTGGATAAATGTCGTCTTCATATATTTCTGTTGGTTGTACGGAATTATCATCATCTGTGTCACTTGTTTTATCAAGCAGAAAGCGATGATCTTTTGGACTACGGTTATCATTGTCTATGCTATCAACATTTGGATGGTTTTTCTTTTTCTTATTCCCACCAGTAAAAGCACCAAGTTTTGCAAGAGTTTTGTCATTTTTTTTACTTGGTTGGTTAGAGGGATCACGATGACTGTTTGGTCCACCTTTACTATCAGTAACAGTAGTATTTGGATAACCACCGTTTTGCGTTTTTGTTGTTGGTTTCGAATTATTAACATTTTCTTTACTTAATTTATTAAGCAGATGAGAAGAAGGTAGTTGGCCGCCGGTATCAGAGCCGCCAATATTAATACCTGGATGTAGTGTTTGAGTGTTTTTTATGGTCACAGATGTGTCATTTTTCTTACTTGATTTCTGGGGATATTTAGCATTTTCCTTATTTGCAGTCAGTTTCGAATTATCGACACTTTTTTTATTAGATTCATTAGGCACTTGTTGACCACTATTAACACTAACAATATTTATATTTGTGTTTAGGGATTGTGAGTTTTCTATTTTTACTGATGTTTCGTCACTTTCGTCACTTTCGTTACTTTCGTCTTCTTCTTCACTGGATTCATCAGACTGAGAAGAAGGTTTATTATTCTTTTTATGTTCTGGTGGTTTTGTAGTATTTTTCTGATTTTCTTTTAAATTATTGTGTGGCTTATTTGGTAGTGTTTCATTAGGTTTTTTCTCGCTTGGTGTTTCAGGCTTGTGAGGAGTTTTTTTTTGTGGATCGCTCGACGAGTTCACAGACTTATGAGGCTCTTTTACTTGTCGTTGATTACTAGGTGGAGTAGTTGTATGTATAACAATTTTACTACCTTCATTTGGTTTTAGAGTACTTGGATGTACAAAAAAGACTTTGTCTTTTCGTGATGGTAGATTTTTTTTTACTTCTTTAGTAGGTAAAGTAGTTGGTTGTATAAAAATGTTACTATCATTGTGTGGTTTTAGTGTGCTTGGGTGTTTGAAGAAATCCTTTTTGTTTGGGTTTAAAGTGCTTGGGTGCACAAAAAAAACTTCGTCTTCYTTTGGAGGTAGATTTTTATTTACTTCTCTGTTGGATAGAGTAGTTTTTTCTAMATAGGAGAAATTTTTGTCTTTTATATTCAGTGGTGGTTTTTGAATATTTGTGTTACTTTTTTTGTAATCAGTTGGGCCACAGTCGTTATCCTTTTTATTATTTAAAATTCCTGAAAGTGGTGTAMGTTGATAATCTTCATA